AAGATGAGTGGAAGGCTGGAGTCAGCTAAGGTGTGTTTTCTGGTTTGAGGTTGAGACTAGGGTGTGGCTGCTGCTTGCAACAGGGTGTGAGCTGATTGGATTTGGCCTCCTATTTAAAAGAATAAAACAGGCTTGGAAGCAAGAGTGGCATCTACTTCCAAAAAAAAAGCTTGCCTCCAGAAACTCTATGAACTTGGAGAAAAGATGAAAGTTTTACGTTCAAGACTTTCGTTCATAGGGTCGCTATAGGTTGTCTTGTCTACGACTCTACAACACAATAATAACAACACATACATATGTGGAAATTCATGCTTCTATATGCACATAGATTTCTATCAGTATATGTTTATGTGTACACATATGCATATATGCATACTCAGAGCTCTGGTAGCGTTGTGGTAAGGAGTAGCACTGCCAACTGAAAGGCAAGCATTTCAAAACTACCCACAGCTTCAAGAATCAAGGGTGGACACTCTCCTCCCCTGCAGTTTATAGCTTCTGAAAACCTACTTGTAAGTTGACTAGACAGCAGTCAACAGAGTATGCGTGTGTGTGCATGTTTAGATAGACAGGTACAGAGAGTTAGGAGTTGCACCGGCGACCTAAACGCACACGGCTTGAATCCACCAGCTGTTCCACAGAAGGAAGATGGCCACTTTCCTCTCTGCAGTCCACTCTCTCTGAACAATCACTGAAGGGTCAGCTATGATTGGTTACTGAAGGAAGAATATGGCAGTTGCTCCCTCCCCCAAGCTTGACCACTTCCTGAGAAACGTGTAACCCCTAAGCCGGTCATATTAGAGACCAGACCAGAAAATGGATCCTGATAAGAGTCTGAGCTTGGTTAAAAATAACTAAAATCTATCTTCTAAATGAACACGCCAAATTCTGAGAAGTACCATCTTAGTCCTCCCCAGGACCACTAAAAAAAGGAAACCCCCCCAAACTGCCCACACGCCATTTCGATCCTGTCTGCATGCCACATGGCCGGGTCACTTGGTGTCCCTCTCAGATCACATAATAAAGGCCTGTTTGTTTCTTAGGACCAATTGCTTTGTTTCTCTCCCTTGCACGCTTGCGTTCTTTTTTTATATCTAATAGTTTACAACTTACTGGTACATAAAAACAACATATATAAAATGAGGGAGGCGGGAGTTGAGCCACAAGATGCTTTACTTTCCACGTCAGAGTGGAGGGAATGCTTGTCCATTTATTCTTCTAACATAAGACGAGTAGACAAGCAAGCTTGTGGATCCAGGGCCTCATGGGGATGGATTTCCCTTGGTTGCTTTTATATTGTAAGAAAACCAATACCTGGGATTATCCATGGGACCTCCGCCCTTCCCATTCCTTGTGAAATGGAATGAAGTTGTTTGAATGACTTGATTAAAGGCTGTGTGTACCAAGGCCATCATTTTTAGCAGAGGAGTATTTCATATTTCTAGCCAAATTCTCTTCTACATCCATTTATCATTTAAGAGGCATCCTACTTAATGCAGTGTTTTGTATTTTCAACACTAAGAGAGCAGTTGTGAGGACATAAAGAAGGCTGGCATTTTTTCTTCCTCAGCCAAACTGTTAGCTGTTTTTCTGTTTCCAAGACTGCAGTCCGCTTCAAGTGCTTGCAGGCACGTCTCTGAAAAGTTCACAAACTGTGTAATCTATCACTCATGGCCTTAAGACATGAAATTGGAAATTGTCACTAAGTATCTGGGGCTAATTAAAAAAGAATTTCAATATTCCTAACTTTACGAAGATAATTATGTTCGGAGGAGGATGACCCACCCCTGCATTTTTACCACGCCGGTTAGTGCATTGCTGAGCATCCCCATTGCACCCCAAAGACAGCAGAAGACTAATAGCACCTCCAGCCGAGTCCAAACAGCCTGCATCTACAAAGACACTCAGATGCCCGCTGCATCACAGGCGTAATCAGAGGCTCAATTATGCAGTTTAGCACTAACGACTTAACCTTCCTGTCTCCCTAAGATCCTGCAATGTCATGTTCATACAGCAGATGCCAGTTGCAACTGGAAAACTCACCTACGCCCACATTTCTTCAAAACGGAGTCAATAAACATGAAGAAAACCTGAGTTAGACGTGCCACCGTGCCCCCCTGCCACCCAGCGGTGCCCCTCAAACGGCCTATCATGGGGAACATCCTGTGTTTTAGGGCATTCTGTTGCCTCAGTGCTTGCTTTTTAGGAGCCATCAATTTTCCTGTTAGGCTGTGAAAAGCAAGTCCTCATCATAATTTATCTGCAGTCAATACAAATGTATCCCAAATGTATAGACACAGAGGAAAGAAATAGAACAGGAAAGGAGCACTCACTTCATGCTGTGTAGATGCCATCAAGTCAACTACAACTCCTAGCAACCACGTAAACAACAGATTTGAATAGTACCCTCTCCTGCACCGTCCTCACGAGAAATACACATAACATGTATCTTGTCTTATAGGTGAATATGTTCATTGGAACACTCTGCGTATAGTCTTATCAGCCAACACATGAGAAAGACTGTATAATTTTGTGTAATCATCATTGTATATATCTCTTCTCATTTAGCTTGTGCACCAGTAGCCAGGAAATTAGAAGACATATTGCGAAGGGAAAGTCTGCTGTTAGGGACCTCTCTAAATTACTGAGGAGCAATGGTATCTCTCTGGAGACTAAGGTGTGTCTGATGCAGGCCGTGGTCTTTGCTATCACTTGTTATGCATCAGAGTTGGACAGTGACTAAGGAAGATAGAAGGAGAATTGATGCCTTTGAGCTGTGGTGCTGGAGAAGAGTATTGAGAGTACCTTGGACTGCTAGGAAAACAAACATTCATCCGGGAAAGGGTTAAACTGGGCAGCTCCCTGCAGGCAAGGATTCTGAGGCTCTAACATACTTTGGACTTGTTGTAAGGAGGGACCAGTCCTTTGAGAGGGACATGATGCTTGGTAGGGTGTAGGGAAAGTGCAGGAGGGGAATGCCCTCTATGAGGTGGATTGATTCAGTAACTGGGGTAATCGGGATGAGAGTGTCTGTCAGAGACAGTGTGATTGGCACAGGACAGAGCAGAGTTTAGGGCTGTTGTGCATAGGGTCGCTATGAATCGCAAACGACTTGACGGCACATAACAACAACAACAACATTAATTGAATAATATTAGATAAAATAATATGAAGTATATTAGCATAGCTGATGAGGCATGAGATGATACAAAATAATCCTATGTAGAAATACTTCCTTTTTATGGAGCTGTAAATTCTAACTGTTCCATTTATTCTCTGTCACATTTTTCCCTTGTATGTTTTTGTGCTTTCCTTACAATGTGGCCCACACTCGAGATTGGTTCTCATCATAGAAATCTATGACATCTTGCGTGATGATTTTTTGTGTCCTGTAATGTCACTGGGACCTCCAATAAGCTGACAACATTTTGTCTGGTGCATTTGGTCACTATGAGTCAAGTCATCTTGACCGTGCCCAATGACTGTCACCTCAGGGCACCATCTATGTGAGGTCACTCTACATAGGTCTTTGACAGCATTAATTGCATGAATTGAAATATTCGTCAAAGTTAGAATAGTGGATCTAATTTAAGGGAAGAGTTATGGGAGAGAGGGTGTTGCTTTGGTTGGGTTTTGGCCAACCTTTCTTCATGAAGTATCAAGGTTGAAACAGATTTCCTTATTGTCCCTATCTGATGGTTGTTTTTGTTCCTCATTTATCTTCATGCTAAAAGTCATTTGGTATCTTAAATGTATCACCTAAGATCCTCTTTGGTGGTGTTTTTCTTTCTTTGATTTGCTATATAAAGCAATAGTCCACCTTTTAATCATTATCTTCTTGTTTTAGTTAGGGTGAAAAAGGATAACTTTGATTTGGCTGTCTGAGATTAGAAGATGTTGCACCCACAATGGCCAGACCTTTATTCTCCCAACAGTTAAGTTAAAAAATTGTTAGGTGCAAAGAATTTGTGGTGAAATGCTCAAAATATAAAACAAAAGATTTACAAGTATTTTAGAACCATCATGATAATAACAATTACTAGGCTAAATATAATTTTAATTACTTAAACTT